AGGGCAGGCCTTATTGAGGTCGGTGTAGTCCACGCACATCCTCCAGGTGGGTGGTTTTGGGGCGAGGACCACGTTGGCCAACCACGTGGGGTATATGACCTCCCTGACGTGGCCGATCTCTAGCAGGGTGTCGACCTCCTTTTTGACGAACTCCCTCCTCTCGGCGGAGAGGTACCTCTTGCGCTGCTGGATGGGATTGACCGCGGGGTCGACAGCCAGCTTGTGCGTGATCACGTCTCGGCTGAGGCCCGGCATATCCTCGGGACCCCATGCGAAGATCTCCTTGTAGCTCCTGATGGTGTTGATTATCTGTGCCCGGAGGTCGGCCGGGAGGCCGACCCCTACCTTCACGACCCGGTCAGGTCGGCTGAGGTCGAGGATGACCTCCTCCGTCTCCACCACGGGCTCGGCCCGAGGTCGGCCAGCCTCCTCCCGGAAAGCCTTCTCTGCGATGGTGTGGACCTGTAGGTCCTTCTGACCGATTTGACGGCATGCCTTCAAGTAACAGCTGCGGCTCACCTTTTGGTCCCCTCGGGCGACCCCGACCCCAGCCGGTGTCGGGAATTTGAGACACAGGTGCTCCATGGAGATGACGCACCTGAGGTCCTCTAGTGCGGGTCGGCCGAGTATTATGTTGTGGGCGCAGCTGATCTTCACGACTACAAACTCGACCCCCCACCTCCTGGTGTGAGGCGGGGTGCCTATCTCGACCTCCAGATTGATCGACCCTTCCGTCTCGATCGAGTCCCCCGTGAACCCGGACAGGGGGGTCCGTACTTGCTCCAGCTGCCCCCTCGAGAGTCCCAGCTGGGTAAACGTGTCATAATACATGACGTTTACCGAGCTGCCCGTATCCACCAGCACCCGGTGCACTACTACGTTGTTGATGTCTAGCTTGACCACCAAGGCGTCTCGGTGGGGGAGGGGCCCATCCGGTAGGTCGGCGTCGGTGAACGTGATGGGCTCCCTCTTCGCTCTCTTCTCGTGGGGGGTACGTGTGACCTCCCCCACGTACAAACTCCTCGCCCACTTCTTCCGCTCGGCGGGTGAATCTCCTCCCTCGGGCCCTCCAAAGATGACGTAGATGGCCCGTTTCTTCGGGGGCTGGGAGTCCTCTGTCGTCTTCTCCTCCTCCTCCGAGCTGTTGTCGTGGTGATCCCTCTTACGGGGAGCCGATGTGGATGGCGCCTGGCCACCCCCCTTCCTCCATACGTTACCTGGTTTCTGGCCCTGCGCCTGCCCTTGTGCCTGGCCGGGTCTTTTAATGAATTGGCCGAGGTAACCCATTTGGATGAGTTCCTCGATTTGCCGCTTCAAGAGGATGCATTCGTCTGTATCGTGCCCTTTCTGCCTGTGGAACCTGCAGTACTTGTTGGGGTCCCCCCTTGCCGATATCTTCATGCACTCCTCCTTCGGGAACACTACGATTCCCTGGTCCTCCGCGTGCGCCAAGATGGTACCCACTGATTGCGTCAGCGGGGTGAGATAGCGTGTGGGGTTCAGTCTGGGCCCCTCAGCGTACTCACGTCGGTGCGGCCGCGGCGCCTTGCGCTCCTCCTGGGGTGCCTTGTCTTTCCGGCCACGCCCTTCCTCCTGCTCCTTCTTCCTCTTCTCGGCAGCCTCGGCGTCAGCATACCGTGCTGCCTTGTCCATCAGGTCGTTGTAGGTCCTAGGGGGGTACCTGATGAGGTCTTGGTGAAAGGCGCCCGACCTCAGGTTGTTCCGGAAAATCACTATGGCCGACTTCCCATCAAAGTCGGCGACCCCCATGGCCTCTTTCTTCCACTTGCTGAGGTACTCAGCTAGTGATTCCGAGCTCCCCTGTTTTAAATCACACAGGTCGGCAATTTGCTTCTTCCGCTGTATGCTGGTGGCGAAATGGGATAGGAACTGCCGGGTGAGGTCCGCGAAGGTGGAGATGGACCCCGCCGGGAGGGACCCGAACCAATCGTGTGCCTGCCCGTCCAGGGTGGCGAAGAACCCCTTGCATAGGATGGCATCTGTTGCCTCGGTGATCATCATGGCGGCTCTATACCTGGTCAGGTGTGCCCGCGGGTCCGTGGTCCCCGAATACGCCTTGATGGTGGGAAAGCGAAAGTCCCGAGGTAGGGGCTCTGCCATGATGGTGTCTGCGAATGGGGAGGCCAACACATCTTGGGGCTCTGGAGACCCGTCCCTCTCATCAATCTTCCGCTGGAGCTCGTCCATCCTCCTCTGCAGCTTCTCGACCTCCCCCCGATGGGAGCTCGGAGCTCTACCTTTCGTTTCCCCCGATCGTTCGACCCGGGAGGCCTGCTCGCGTCGCGGGTGGAGTCGGGGGACCCGACCTGCTGACCCGCCCGAGGCTGCCTCGTGTCGCGGCGGGGCGCGGGGCCCACGGCTCGGCGACCCCCGGGTGACCGATCCCTGTCGTAGCGGCCGGCGGGAGCATGACTCCGCCGCCGGTGGCCCATTGGTCGGCCTCGGACCCAACCTATCCCGGGCTGTCACGCGATCGCCCAATCTCTCCAGGGCGGGCCTGGTTTGGGTCGGCGTCCGTCCATCGTCGTCGCGCTGACGGTCTCGGCGGGAATCTCCACCTCCCCGCCTCCCCGATGGTCGAGGCGAGTTGACCTCCCCCTGGGTGACAGGTGCCTGGGGTGGTCGGGTGCTCAGGCCGCTGCGCCCCCGAGGAGGAGGCGGAGGCGACCCTGGCGCCCCCCCGGCGGCGCCCAGGGCGGCTTGTTCCTCTGCTCGAGGCCCGCCGCGACGCGCGCCAGCGCGGTGGAAGCTTGCTCGAAGACCGCCGCCCCTTCCTGGATGAGTGCGCGAGCCGGAGCGGGGGCGGCGTGGGGAGCTGATGGCGCACCGCTACTGCGGCGGTGGGTGAGCTGGGCCCTCACATCCTCCCCCGATCTGGCGGAGGCGGCCGGTTGGGCGCCGGGGGCGGGGGCCCCGTTGGGGCCGTTCCCGTTCGCGACGAGCTGGGTGCCGCGGGAACCATTGGTATGACGAGAGCTGGATCTCGATCGTGCCATCGCTGTCGATGAACAATAGTGGGGAGAGAGCGCTCAAGCTTGTACAGCAGCTCTCAACAAGAGCACCACTGATGGAATTAATTAAACCGGGGGTCCGACTTAACTAACCCGAATGAGAATACGAATAATAAAGAGATGGTAAAGGCCGCGGTGGACCGTATATTGTATTAAATGCCGTGGAATTGGCTATTACAATGATTCTTCAGTACAAAGTGTGTCCGTAGAGTAGGTCGTGTCCTAACTGGACAAGGTGGGGGGTTTTTATACAACCCCCGTCCCTAACCGCCACCCCCCAAAGCGGGGGGGGTGGTTAGATCTAAGTTGACCGCGCCCGGTCTTGCGACCGGGCCGCGTTATGGGGCCAGGCCGAGCCCGTCGTGGGCTCGGGCCGAGCCCACAAGGAGGTCGGCCCGGCCTCTGCCGTGGCCCGCGCGGGGCCACGTGGCGAGGCCCTCCCGGGGCGGGTACGTGGCGCCACCCCGGGACCCGTTCTTGCCCGCGCACCTCGGGTCGGTGCGGGTCGGTTCCTAATATATCCGTCAATTGCAATTTCAATATTATTATTTGCAGAAATATTGATGTATGTTTCATGTGCAATTGTATTAAGGTTAGGAAAATATTTATAGTGTAATTTCAATCAATATTATTATTTGGAGATTATGTAAAATAACAAAGTAAATTTGTATTACTGATATGAAAGTATTTATACTGTAACATTTTTCTAAATATTGCAATTTCAATATTATAATTTGAAGAAATGAGGATGCATGTTTCATGTACACTTGTATTACGGTTAGAAAAGTATTTATAGTGTAACTTCAATCAATATTATTATTTGGAGATTTTGTGAAATAATAAGTAGAATTATATTACGGGCATGAGAGTTTTTTTTTTTTTTTTTTTTTTTTTTTTTTTTTTTTTTTTTTATGATTAGTAATTTTAATCTAGAATTGTATTACGAATATTAAAGTAGGAAAGAATATATTGTATTAGGAATTATATTACCATATTTTAATGTGCAATTGTAGCATAATAGGAGTTGTATTACCATATTTTATAATAGTACACAAACCTTAATTGTATAAGAGTGTTTTGGGCGGGAAGTTAAATGGAGGATTTTGTTTTTATTAATAGTATAGATATAGATAGTTTTAATTTATTTAAAAAAAATATTTTAAAATTAATATTTTTTAAAATAAATATCACATCCACTCGGTAACCAAGTAGTAAAGGGTTTTACATGTAAAATGGTTAAATTGCACAGAATTGGTTAATGTAAGTATATGTTATAGAAATAGGGTATTAGTTAAGAGAATCTCTCTTAGCCCTAGGTTTGGATGTTTGAAATCTAAGATTAGGATTAGCTCGTGTCTTGTATAAATAGCTCTACTCTTCCGTACATCTGAACAGAATATATAGAAATACAAGTTGAGTTCATTGTTTAACATGGTATCAGAACCCAGTGGGTATCGATCGGCGTAGAGAGGCGACTTCACCGACATGAGCTTCCCGGCGAACGGAGCCTCCACGCGCCACCGCAGTCCAGAGGTTTCGACGCCATGCGCCGGCGCATGTGCGCTGTTCCGGCGTCCTCTCCGGTCAAGGCGAGTACCGGCGGGCTCGTCTCGGTGAGCCCAGTAGGTCTGGGGTGGTGATGGTAGCGCGTGAGGCTGTTTTCGATGACTTTTTCGGCAAAACGTTTTGGTGAGCACATTTCGTCAAGGTATGTTGTGTGATGTGTTGGAGTATGGGTTGTTGGTGGAATGTTGGTTTAGTTTTGTTGAGGACCCGGCGGTGGATGTTTTTCAGTAGCTGACAATGGCGACGACGGCAAGGGGGGTAGGTGGTGACGCAAGGTTGAGTGGTTGGTGACGGCCACCAGCGACTGTGGTTAGTAGGTTGGGTTTTTGTTTCTGTTGGGGTGGTCAGTAGGTTAGGTTGTGTTGCTGTTGGGATGGTTAGTACATTTGTGTTGGGTAAAAGCTGATAAGGAGAATAATTAGGTAGTAGGTTGTTTTGTGTTGGTTGTTTATCATATTAATAAGTCTTGAGCTTTATGTTTTGGTTTGTCATAGTTTGTCGCTTGTTTTTAGTGGGAGCGATTCCAGGGTCTGAGTTGAGTCAGTGCAGCTTATTCAGTGTGCGTAAACAGGGGTGCTGTAGGAATGGGCAACACAGGTGCCAAGAGTGGGCGGACTTGGCATATGCTGCAGGGGAGACCGATGGCTGAAGATTGATTCAGAGTGAATCGGTTTACGTGCATGCACCGGGGAAACGCTGTGGTGTTAGGCAGCGTTGATAAGGGTGCATGGTGAGAGGGTCAGGTGCAATATGTTCTAGCAGCGCTAATGGTTTGTGGAGCGAGAGGCAGGTACGCTGTGGTGTTAGGTAGCGTTGATAAGGGTGTGGGGTGTGAGAGGTAGGTGCGACGCTGTGATGATTGACCTGGTTTTTGGCTCCGTAAAAGCTTTGTTGGTGCGATAAGGTGGGTTGTGGACTGGTTTGGCACAACGTGGTTCGAAGATTGTTTGAGTGTTTGAAGACTTGGGCGTTGGCCTTGGAAGTTATGATTCTAGGTGTGGAGTCATAGGGTTCATGAGATACATATGTAACAAGTTGGATGCTCTAACTTGGGGGGAGTGTTAGAGAAATAGGGTATTAGTTGAGAGAATATAATCTCTCTTAGCCCTAGGTTTTGATGTTTGAAATCTATGGCTAAGGGTAGCTCTTGTCTTGTATAAAGAGCTCTACTCTTCCTTGTACATATGAACAGAATATATAGAAATACAAGTTGAGTTTAACAGTATCCAAGTGCACTTTTTTTTTAAGGTTAATTTGGACTCAATTACGTTATTGTGTGCAATTTAGTGACCTTTTTAAACATTATACCAAGTATAATATTACTCATTACCACTGTTAAAAAATCGCACCTAACGTATCACCATAATCGATGGTCTAGGCGGTTGGCCGGCTAGGTGCTAACCGCCTAGGTCCGGACTAGGCCACCTAGTAGATAGGTTAGCTATTATCATTTTTTTTAAATGAGTTATTTCACTCAAAAAGAAGTCGTTTTGAACAAAATAACCCTAATTCATTTAAACCTTAGATATTTTTTAGGTTAATATGTAACAGTTTAGTATTAACTATTAAAGTATTAATTGTTTATAATTATCAAGTCTTAAAAAATTTTAAAAATAAAAAAAAATTTAAACAATTAAAAAAAATACATGAATGCCTAGATGCCCTAGGCGGTCGGGCGCCTAGCAATTTTTCAATATAATCATGTTCACTACTCATATCTTATTTCAAAAACAACAGAAAAGAAAACATATAATAAAACATTCATAGAATTTTAATTGAAAATAACATTACTGTAACATTAGAACCCAAATTAACAATTCATATAACAACTATGGGATAAGGAAATAATACTGCAAAAATATTATTTCTGAAAAGATACTGTTAGGAATATATTGTAGAAGTTTTGATGAGCCAAATGTATTTTGTAGACCCCAATTTTATTTTATTTGAGTCAGTTCTGGTTCACCAAGTATAGTGCACCACTGCCATGAAGCCTACATGAAGTCTACGAAAAAGCAGTTTTAAAGAAGAATAAATGAAAGCGGGATCATAGCTTAACAGATTTATGAAGCATTAAGTTACTAAAGGTTGAGATGGACGAGATGGTAGAAGACTTGTTGAAGCTGCTTAATGCAAGATGATCTATAGTTCGATTCTCATTAGAAGTAATTTTGGTGTAAAGATGAATTGCTATCGTGAAGTAGCAATATCAAGAGATGATGTCATCATGATAGTAATATCAGGTTATACTATCATGAAAGAACAATTTTTATCGTGATAGTTGAGAATTATCGGGTGATGACGGAGGAGATAAGTCAAAAGAAATTAAGTCTTGACGACTATCGGGTAATGACATCACAATGTGATAAAGCTAGTGGAGAACACGTGGAGGAGATAAGTCAAAAGAAATTAAGTCTTGGATTATATCAATTGGATACCCAGTTGAGATGGAAGAAGTCTTGCCAAGCAAAGCAAATGGTCCACAGTTTGATTCCCAATCGAAGCGATTTTATGAATTCATGATATTGGTTCATGACACACAATGGAACGTGATACATGGTCCATGATACAAGGTGGAACATGATAGCTAGTTCATGATATGAAATAGAACATGATATATATGGTCCATGATAGCTAGCCCATGATATGAAATGGAACATGATATATGTGGTCCATGATACAAGGTGGAACATGATAGCTAGCTCATGATATGAAATGGAACATGATATATATGGTCCATGATACAAGGTGGAACATGATATACTATTGGGACATGACTTCATCAAAAGGAGCTATGACATCATGATAGAATTAGACAGAAACATACATGATATATATGGTCCATGATACAAGGTGGAACATGATATACTATTGGGACATGACTTCATCAAAAGGAGCTATGACATCATGATAGAATTAGACAGAAACATTATTTTGAAGCTCTGTTTCTGCAGAAGAAGTCGAAGGAGAAGAAGAAGCTGATATACGAAGGAGATCTTTTTATTACTCAAGCAAGAATCAGCAGATAAATTATTTGATCAACTTGGCACATCAGATCAATAATTCAACAAAAATCATGCCAGAGAAATTCAAATTTGGAGGCTACCCATGCCAAGGAAAAAGCTTTGTCAGCTTAAAGAGAAGCAACGGCAAATTTATTTAAATCTTCTGACAGACGGCGAAATGATTTTTGCAGACCAAGTTGGCAAAATTAATTGATCAACTACAATTCAAAATGGACGATCGAGATCGAAAGTTGATCAACGGGCAAATAGCTTTCATCTGCTATAAATTGCACAAGCAGACTTGAAGACAAGCACGAATCTAACAGAGATTCAGAAAACACTTGAACAACAAGAAAATTATCCAATCAATCATCAAGTGGTATATTGAGCTATATAAGATAGAATTCAAGTCTGAGAGAAGAAATCTTTGTATTTTCATTGTAAATCTTCTACTGAGTGTAGAAAAGGGGTAGAGTAACTAGGGAGAGTGAAAAACCCAGTTGGAGTGTAGCTTTGTGCGTAGCACTCGGTTGTAACGGGCAGAGTAACAAGGGGAGCTTGTGAAAACCCGGTGAGAGCGTAGCTTTGTGCGTAGTTCTCGTGGTGTAGGAGTACAGCTTGGTGCGAAGTACTCGGGAAGGCGGAGTAACAAGAGGAGCTTGCGAAAAACCTTGGTGGAGTATAGCTTTGCGCAAAGCACTCGGAGAAGTGTCGTTGGGCACTTATTCACTATTGTATCTGGGTGATCGAAGAATAGTGAATTTCCTCCTTGAAGTGAAAGGAGAAGAGTGGACTAGGAGGATTACACCACCTCTGAACCACTATAAATCTCTCTCTCTACTTACTTACTGCTCATATATACTCCGTGCATGCCTATATTATCTGTGAACTAACCCGTTACGGTTTATTGCGTATCTTTATCTGTCTGGGTTTGATAGTTCCCTCGTTTGCATGCAAGTGAAATTTTATATACATCATCCTACATCTATACTAAGTGGCTCTAACATGATGCATGTATAAAATCTCTCCTGAGCACGACACAATTTAAAGCATAACACTTTGCCGTTACAATTCCGCTGTGCACACTCTAAGTTGTTATACTTGTTTATGCTTGTTACTTAGAGTTGAAGTTACAAAGTGTTGTTTGCAGAAGAAGTTTGAAAAAGTTAGAGAAGTCTATTCACCCCCCCTCTAGACTTCTCACCACCCTTTCGGGACCAACAGATACAAGCACAAAAACGAAAAGTTGAGATTTAGTTCGAGTCGAGTGAAACACTCTTTTTTTAAAAAAAAAAATTATTTGCTACCTTTGAAAGGTGTTGGAGCATTGTAGTTTAGGTTTCCAAGGATAAAACGAACTACGACTTATGGTTTGAGCACTCAAACAATAAGCCCGACGGACTAGAACATGGATAGAAGTATTAATTTGGCTACTAAAATTTAAAAAGTTTAATTAAATTTTTATATTAACTAATTTCATAAAATTAGATCAATTTATTAGTAAAATATTTTACTACTATATCCGGTTACAACACACCATGTGATTTTTTTAAAAATTTAAAATATATTTAATACTTTTAAATAAAATAATTTTTTTTTTTAACCACCGTACCCCCTCTTACTCATCTTCGATTTAAAGACGAAGACTGTTCTTCCTCTCCATAGTTAGAGACGAATTGAAGAAATGCTCTTCATCTCCAAACTATACTATAGAAGAATACATAGTCTTCATCTCGAATTAGAGATGAAGAGGGAAACATTTAATATAACAACTATTAAATCATACTAGTATTTTTACCCGTGCGTTGCACGGAATGAATTTGTTATAATATTTTAAAAATATTTAGATTGATATACAATTGTATAAATTATAACATCGAATATTATATAATATAATTGAAAAATTGAGTTGCACCGATTATGTTTTCTGATGTTATCAATGCTTGAATTCAAGTAAATAATTTCTCAATTAATAGCTAATGTGTAGATATACGCATTCGTTGCTGCAACTATAGAGATTTTATATATCAGTGTTTATAATTTGTATTAATTGGGCTAATTAACTCGTTGTCTAGCAACTCAGTTATAGAAATTATTTATATGGAAGTTATATTTTCTATGAAGATATCTAGCAATTTTGTCATCTTTGTATATTAAAAAACATAATATCAATGGCTTGAATTATACATTATTGAAAATCTCTTTGTAGAAGACATTGGTAGTAGTAACGGGATTTTATTCATCCTCGTCTAGAGTTAAAACAATCAGACCATCAGGATGGGTGACTCGGGAAAAAGTCACATACAATTAACCGTGATTAAAGACTGATTTTTTCGGTAATAACTCAATGTGAATCATTGTTCACATCTTTGAATTATTTATTTTTTTTCTTTACCTATTATAAACAGAAATTACGATATTTATCAAATTGTATTTTTTTAAAAAAAAAATATAACATTTACACATGTTATGAGGGGTTAAAAAATATTTTAAAAAT